CCAAAGATTAATTTTGCCCTGAACAGAAGATGTCTGTTCCTGTAACAGTGGCAAAAGAAGCAGGAGAGGATAACAGTTTTATATATATAGGTGTATAGTTTGACAGTAGAATATTTAAAAACTAAAGTGATTGTTTTGTTAGGCTTTTATTATTTGCACATTTGTTCTTTAAAGTTATTGGCCAGACTCGGCATTAAAATATTAGAAATTCAGTATAACTTCACTTTACCGTCTATATAAATATGAACTGGGTTCAGTTTTTCATTTTGTTGAGGAATTTTGTCATATATCATTACAGAAAATCAAAATCCTCTCCTGTCATGATCTGTGCTGCATAACCATCTCTGCTGAGTGTTTTACAGGTGGGTGTGTCTGGAGAGCCCAGCTGTGCCAAATCAGCTCATCAGCGATCAGGGGATTTAAGGAGCAGCTGGACATCTCACCATTGCCAGATGATACTCAGTCTTGGGTAGTTTCTAGCTCTCCTTTTGACCTTCCTAAAACAATTTTAGAATTACTTTGTCTATTTGTTCCTGCCCTTCTGGCAGTTAACCTGCTCTGCCCTCCTGATTCCTCCAGGTTCCAGTCATCTGTTCATCTCCACTCTCTGCTATATCTTTGGAACCATCTACCACATTCCAGTCCTGCTGTTTGCCCCTGATCGCCAGCTCTCCATCACCCCACCTATCCACCTGCAGCTCCTCGGTCTCCCCATCCAGCCAGGTCTGACTAACCCCCCCCCCCCCCACACACACACACACACAAAATACCGGATCATTCAGGAAACAGTAAGCCTTCTTATTTTTTCATCATCGTCTCACGTTGCTCCAGACTCTGACCTCTCTTCCTCTCTCAGACCCCACGGATCCCTCCAGTCCTGCAGAAGCTTCGGCTACCTCTCCCATTCAAAATAAATCATTTAAACTTACCTTCTGTCTCTCGGTGCTGATTCTTCATGTCGTGGGTCAAGAAATTACCCTCAAACATGACAGAATCATCTGGCCAAACTCCTGACCCCGCTGTCGAATCACTACCGTCTGTTATATCCACAGCGTTCGCCCAACATGAACAATCCATACAGACTCTCCTCGAACATCAAGCCAACACTAACCAACGTTTGTTCCAGTTAGACACCAGATTAAGAGAACTAAATGAAAAGCTATCTGTTCCGGCTGCTTCAGTTTCTCCACCTCCACCTCAACTACCTCCGGTTCAGCCTGGTCAGTCTACACATTGGCACTTCCGAGTTGCAGACTCGCCTCCTCCCGATACCTTCTCCGGTGAGTCCGGCAAAATACGTTGTTTTCTTCTCCAATGCATGTTAGCGTTTGAAAGAACCCCAGAAGCATTTATTAGTGATCCCGCAAAAATTTCTTACATTGTCAGTCTGCTCCGAGGTCGTGCCTTACAGTGGGCTGAGGCAAAAAGTCGGGAACCTAGTTTCCTTAGAGGTTCCTTAGACAACTTCCTCGTAGATTTTAATAGAACTTTTGGTAAATCAGAGACACCCTCAGAAATAGCCCGGGCCATTTGGAATCTGAAGCAAGAGAAGCAAACTGTTTCAGACTTTGCAGTTGAATTCAGAACATTAGCTATCACTTCTATTATGGATGAGGAGTCATTAAAAGGAGCTTTTACTCAAGCCCTCCACGACAAAATCCAGGACCAACTAGCCCTGTGTCCTGAACCTGGCACTCTGGAGGATCTTATCACTCTAGCTATTCGCATTGAGAAAAGACTCAAGACCCGTCCCAGGTCTGCCTTGCCCAGTTATCATACCCATCAGACCGCTCGTTCCACTATTCCTCCAGCTCTGCCGTCTGCTTTTGCTTCTGCCTCAATTCCTCCAGAGGTTCCCATGCAGATAGGCCGGGCTAGTCTGACCCCAGAAGAGAGACAACGTCGCATCTCCTCCCAACTGTGTCTGTACTGTGGTTTGTCTGGTCACTTTCTACCTAACTGTCCAATTCGCCCAAAAGGGAGAGCCCACCAGTAAGTCCGGGAGTTCTGGTGGGTAGCAGCACTAACAAAGAAGCCTCCCGGTGTGTATTGACCTGCACTGTTTTTTTAATCAGCTGCCTTTTTTAACTACAGCCCTGCTTGACTCTGGTTGTGAGAGGAATCTTCTAGATCAGTCTGTGGTCACTAAACTGAGAATTCCAACGACACCTCTTCTCACTCCAGTTCAGGTTTCATCATTGGATGGCAACGCGCTCACTACCATCACCCACCGAACAGAGCCTGTCAAGTTGCAAGTGTCTGGTAACCACCAAGAAGTCATTTCATTTTTTGTTTTTCCCTCTCCTCAGTTTCCAGTCGTCTTAGGACATGAATGGCTTAGCATGCACAACCCCCACATCGATTGGAAGACTGGTCAAGTTGCTGCCTGGAGTCCTTACTGCTTGTCCCACTGTTTGTTGTCCGCTAGCCTTCCGGTCCAGGTTCCTGCTTCCAGTCCTCCACCCATTCCGGACCTTTCTTCAGTGCCATCAGAATATCATGACCTACAAGCAGTTTTCAGCAAAGATCGAGCTGCATCATTACCTCCCCATCGTCCATAAGATTGCAGTATCGACCTGCTTCCTGATGCCACATTCCCATCCAGCAGGTTGTACAGTCTTTCTAAAGCGGAACATGAATGCATGACCACATACATCTCTGAGTCCTTAGCATCAGGTCTGATTCGTCCATCCACTTCTCCCTTGGGCGCAGGGTTCTTCTTTGTTTCAAAGAAAGATGGTTCCCTGCGTCCTTGTATCGACTATCGAGGGTTAAATCAAATAACAGTCAAGAACAAATATCCTCTGCCTCTGCTTTCCTCCACGTTTGACCCTGTACAGAATGCAACCATCTTCACCAAATTGGATCTCCGCAACGCTTATCATCTTGTAAGGATCAAGGAGGGTGACGAGTGGAAAACGGCCTTCAAGACACCTTTGGGCCACTACGAGTACCTCGTCATGCCTTTTGGCCTGACTAATGCTCCCGCAGTGTTCCAGTCCCTGGTAAACTCCGTACTCTCTGACTATATCAATTCATTTGTCACTGTATACCTCAACGACATTCTGATTTTTTCCAGTACCCTTTCCGAACACCATCAACATGTCCGCGCTGTTCTACAACGCCTTCTGGAGAACCGCCTTTTCGTCAAGGCTGAAAAATGCGAATTCCACGTTTCCTCAGTGAAATTTCTGGGATTTGTTCTGGAGAAGGGAAAGCTGAGAACAGACCCAGAAAAGGTTGAAGCTGTCCGTGACTGGCCAACTCCCACTACCCGTAAACAGCTTCAACGTTTCCTCGGGTTTGCAAATTTTTATCGGCGCTTTATTCGTGGCTACAGCCAGGTGGCATCTCCCTTGACGCAGTTGACTTCTGTTAAAAGAGCCTTTGTGTGGTCAGCTAACGCTGAAGAGGCTTTTCAGGAGTTAAAGAGACGTTTCACTCAAGCTCCTGTTTTGGTTCGCCCTGATCCGTCTGTTCAGTTCACCATGGAAGTCGACGCCTCAAATTCTGGCGTTGGTGCTGTCCTATCTCAAATGTCACCTTCAGATAATCTATTACATCCCTGTGCTTTCTTTTCAAAGAAACTCTCTCAGGCGGAGCAAAACTATGATGTGGGAGACCGAGAGCTGCTAGCCATCAAATTGGCTCTGGAAGAGTGGCGCCATTGGCTTGAAGGTTCCGTGCATCCCATCATTATCTGGACAGACCATAAAAACCTTGCTTACCTGAAAAAGGCCAAGAGGTTAAACCCCAGACAGTCCCGGTGGTCCTTGTTCTTCACACGCTTCAATTTCATCATTTCCTACACCCCCGGATCAAAGAATGTCAAACCAGATGCTCTATCCCGCCAGTACGCTTCAGACAGAGACCTCGAACCCGCCACTATCCTTCCTCCATCTTGTGTTGTGGGAGCTGTTTCCTGGGACATCACCAACAAAGTTCTGGATGCCCAACGCACTGATCCTGACCCAGGTAATGGTCCCCCCAATAAACTGTTTGTGCCTCAACAGGTTCGAGGAGCAGTGATCCACTGGGCACATACTGCCAAGTTTTCCGTTCACCCTGGAATTGGTCGCACTCTCGCCCTGATCCGCAGGTCATTCTGGTGGCCCTCCATGTTTAATGACACTAAAGAGTACATCAACGCCTGCCATGTCTGTGCCCGGAATAAAACCACCAATCAACCCCCGGCAGGACTGTTAAATCCTCTCCCCATTCCATCTCGCCCATGGTCGCATATAGCAGTGGACTTCGTTACTGGCCTACCCCTCTCCAAAGGTTTTTCTGCAATTCTCACTATAATCGATAGATTTTCAAAAGCCTGTCATTTTGTTCCAGTGAAATCCCTTCCATCATCCACTGAAACCGCTAACCTCCTCATAACCCATGTTTTCAGGCTTCATGGCATCCCATCGGAGATCTTGTCAGATCGCGGCCCCCAATTCCTCTCCAGGGTCTGGAAGGAGTTTGCCACCTTATTGGGGGCCCGTGTTTCCCTGAGTTCTGGTTACCACCCCCAAACTAACGGTCAGTGCGAGCGGCTCAATCAGGAGTTGGAGGCTATGCTCAGATGTGTCTGCTCTTCAAACCCTACCAGCTGGAGCACCCAACTACCATGGATCGAGTACGCGCACAACTCCCACGTTTCCACTGCAACCAGTAAGTCCCCGTTTGAATCATCCCTTGGTTACCAACCTCCCCTGTTCCCTTCGGATCTATCCTCCTCTGTCACAGTCCCTCAGTTTATCCGCCGGACAAGGAGGACATGGATCCAAACCCGGGCGGCCCTTCAGCGCACCAAGGAGCGCAACCAACGGCTGGCAGATCGGCACCGCAGACCCACGCCCGTGTACAGTCCAGGTCAACAGGTCTGGCTGTCAACCAAAGATATTGGTCTCAAGGGTACAACTAGGAAACTTTCACCTCGCTTCATTGGCCCATAACCCATTCAGGAGGTTCTCAGTCCCTGTTCTGTCCGTCTTTTCCTGCCCCCGTCTATGAAGATCCACCCTGTCTTTCATGTATCCCTCCTGAAACCTGTCTCGTCCAGTCCGTTGTGTCCTGTTCCTGCTCTCCCTTCTCCTATTCGTCTCACTGATGGTGGACTTGGCTTTCGTGTTCGGCGCCTGCTGGACGTCAGGCCCAGGGGCCGGGGGCGTCAGTTCTTGGTGGACTGGGAGGGTTATGGTCCAGAACATCGCCAGTGGGTCCCCAGTTCCTGGATTGAGGACCCTTCTCTCATCAGAGACTTTGACGCCGCTCGGTCTTCTGCTGCTGCCTCCTCCTCCGCCTCCTCCTCCTCTGCGCGGCCGCCGGGTGTCGGCCTTTGTCATATATCATTACAGAAAATCAAAATCCTCTCCTGTCATGATCTGTGCTGCATAACCATCTCTGCTGAGTGTTTTACAGGTGGGTGTGTCTGGAGAGCCCAGCTGTGCCAAATCAGCTCATCAGCGATCAGGGGATTTAAGGAGCAGCTGGACATCTCACCATTGCCAGATGATACTCAGTCTTGGGTAGTTTCTAGCTCTCCTTTTGACCTTCCTAAAACAATTTTAGAATTACTTTGTCTATTTGTTCCTGCCCTTCTGGCAGTTAACCTGCTCTGCCCTCCTGATTCCTCCAGGTTCCAGTCATCTGTTCATCTCCACTCTCTGCTATATCTTTGGAACCATCTACCACATTCCAGTCCTGCTGTTTGCCCCTGATCGCCAGCTCTCCATCACCCCACCTATCCACCTGCAGCTCCTCGGTCTCCCCATCCAGCCAGGTCTGACTAACCCCCCCCCCCCCCCCCCCACAAAATACCGGATCATTCAGGAAACAGTAAGCCTTCTTATTTTTTCATCATCGTCTCACGTTGCTCCAGACTCTGACCTCTCTTCCTCTCTCAGACCCCACGGATCCCTCCAGTCCTGCAGAAGCTTCGGCTACCTCTCCCATTCAAAATAAATCATTTAAACTTACCTTCTGTCTCTCGGTGCTGATTCTTCATGTCGTGGGTCAAGAAATTACCCTCAAACATGACATCTCCTCCAGAGAGTGAAGAACTGTGTTCCGCATACGTCACTCTAACACGTAAAACAAGGTTAGTATTGTGAATGACTGTATTTTGTTTACTTTTCTTCTCTTAATTACTACAGAAAATTGCATTTACAGCTGCAGCAAAAGGTCTGAGCCATAAGTCCGTGTCCTACACGCATTTTTAAATAAGATAGGTCTGATCTAAAATATGAACCTACATCTATAAATCCTTCTAGAACCGCACCGCTACTTCTGGACTCCAGACCAGTCCCGTTAGCATGACTGCAGCAACTCTGCTAACTGTGTTAGCTCTGGTAAGAAAAAAACAAGTAATTTGGGAAAGCTATGACACACACGCACGCACGCACGCACGCACACACACACACACACACACACACACACACACAAATATGATCTAAAAGATGATCTCCATATTTCAACAATAGATCCCCCTGGGACCGGTAGAACCTCCGTGCCATCCTGAATTAGTGCAAACAACAAAGCAAACTAGAGAGTGACTCCAGCATCAAGAAGATTTATTCTGGTAAGCTTTCGGTTAAATATTTTCAGGAGTTATATCAATATATACTTGGAGCGGTAAAACTGGCAGCCCATTCATTTATTTATCTGTAGATTACTGAATTATATCGAGACAGATGATGGAGCTAAGACCTATAGTCAGCTGAGAGCTCCCGGTGGAGCACAGAAATTAAATACTTACCAAAAGTAAACAAACTGTACCAGTTTTGCTTCTGAAGACAAACAGAAATTCTCCCCGGTCCAAATCGGGTCACGGGTCTTCTGAGTGAAACTGTCAAAAAACCTGTCTGCACCTCCAGTAGTGATATCCAGCTAGCGGGGTTCGGAGTTTGGCTGAACTACCGTTCTCAGGTAATCCAACATTCGTTCTCATTGCCGTATCCCAAAGAAAAAAACTAATCTGACTGACTAGCAGAGGCTTCAGAAGCTACATCTGACTGGTGACACGTTGTTCTCTGCTATAACGCTAACGCAGAAACACCGGAGTCAGGGGTTGTTTACTGCATCTGTTTCTGCAGAGCTCCTGTGAAACATCACCAGCTGCCCAGGGCTTAGACCAGAAGCTAGTTTCTGCTTTTACTGCACCAGACAAAAACATTATACAGGTGCTGGCCAGTAAATTAGAATATCATCAAAAGGTTGAAAATATTTCAGTAATTCCATTCAAAATGTGAAACTTGTACATTATATTCATGCAATGCACACAGACCAATGTATTTCCAATGTTCATTACATTTAAATTTGATATTCATAAGTGACAACTAATGAAAACTCCAAATTTGGTATCTCAAAAAATTAGAATATTCTGAAAAGGCTGAATATAGAAGACACCTGCTGCCACTCTAATCAGCTGATTTACTCAAAACACCTGCAAAGGCCTTTAAAAGGTCCCTCAGTCTTGTTTTGAAGGCACCACAATCATGGGGAAGACTTCTGACTTAACAGCTGTCCAAAAGACAATCATTGACACCTTGCACAAGGAGGGCAAGACACAAAAGGTGATTGCTAAAGAAGCTGGCTGTTCGCAGAGCTCTGTGTCCAAGCACATTAACAGACAGGCGAAGGGACGGAAAAAATGTGGTAGAAAAAAGTGTACAAGCTCTAGGGATAACCGCACCCTGCAGAGAATTGTGACGACAAACCCATTCAAAAATGTGGGGGAGATCCACAAAGAGTGGACTGCAGCTGGAGTCAGCGCTTCAAGAACCACCACGAGGAGACTCATGAAAGACATGGGATTCAAGTGTCGCATTCCGTGTGTCAAGCCACTCTTGAACATGAAACAGCGCAAGAAGCGTCTCGCCTGGGCCAAGGACAAAAAGGACTGGACTGATGCTGAGTGGTCCAAAGTTATGTTTTCTGATGAAAGCAAGTTCTGCATTTCCTTTGGAAATCAAGGACCCAGAGTCTGGAGGAAGAGCGGAGAAGCACAGAATCCACGTTGCATGAGGTCCAGTGTAAAGTTTCCACCGTCAGTGATGGTGTGGGGTGCCATGTCATCTGCCGGTGTTGGCCCACTCTGTTTCCTGAGGTCCAGGGTCAATGCAGCCGTCTACCAGGAAGTTTTAGAGCACTTCATGCTTCCTGCTGCTGACCAACTTTATGGGGATGCAGACTTCACCTTTCAACAGGACTTGGCACCTGCACACAGTGCCAAAACCACCAGCACCTGGTTCAAGGACCATGGTATCCCTGTCCTTGATTGGCCAGCAAACTCGCCTGACCTTAACCCCATAGAAAATCTATGGGGTATTGTGAAGCGGAGGATGCAATACGCTAGACCCAACAATGCAGAGGAGCTGAAGACGACTATCAGAGCAACCTGGGCTCTCATAACACCTGAGCAGTGCCACAGACTGATCGAGTCCATGCCACGCCGCATTACTGCAGTTATTGAGGCAAAAGGAGCCCCGACTAAGTATTGAGTGCTATACATGCACATTCTTTTCATGTTCATTCTTTTCAGTTGGCCAACATTAGAGAAACAAACATTTTTTCATTGGCCTTTAGAATATTCTAATTTTCTGAGATACCAGATTTGATGTTTTCATTAGTTGTCACTTATGAATATCAAATTTAAATGTAATGAACATTGGAAATACATTGGTCTGTGTGCATTGCATGAATATAATGTACAAGTTTCACGTTTTGAATGGAATTACTGAAATATTTTCAACCTTTTGATGATATTCTAATTTACTGGCCAGCACCTGTATTTTCTTAAAATTCCAGCCATGAATATCCAAAACGGCTTTCCTCTGAGGTTTTAATACTTCTCTACACATGCCATTCAGAATTTTGCCTCTGGACAAATTATTTTAATATATATTTTCTTGTCCAATGTGATTAAAAAACTACTTTTAAACAAGCTAGCCTAACGAGTCCATAGTTCTGCAGCTACGTTTAGTTTTAACTTCTATTTGGCACCACCGTTATTGCTAAGCAACGAGACGATGCTGAGGTAACGGCAGGGAAAAATATGAAGGCCAGGCTGTCAAAAATCACTTCTGTTGGTCGAGAGAGAACCCGACCTAAGTGGACCAGCAAGGTCGAGTCATCACAAGAATGCTACCCCTGAATTTGGACAAAGCTATGGAGTCCAAAAACCATTGGCTAAATGTACACAAGGCTGTTACCACACTTCTAATTAATCTATTCACAGATGTTTTTGTATAAAATCAGCTTAATCACTTGAGTGTATTACACTGTCTGAAGCATAGCTTGATGCAAAGTAAACTTTAAGCATTAATTATTATCATAAAATCCCTTCAAAAATATCAAGTGAATGCCAAATTTGGGTTTATTATTATTATTATTATTATTATTATTAAAGGCCACAGATAAATAATGAAAACTAAAGGCCATATCAACCTTTGGCCTTTTTAATTTTTCGCTGCACTTCAACAAAGAGCAGCTTTAGTCATAACATGACTAAAAAAGCCAAACATGAGTTCATCTAGTCTCTAACAAAAAAATTCCACCGTCCAACATTAAAATCACTGTTGCCTAAGTTTTGTTATGTCAAAGTGCAGCTGCAGCTCAACAGGAAGGCAAGATTTATCTGTGATTTAAACTTTGAGATAAGTAAACAAACAACAGACAGATTTTCCAGGGTGGTTTTTGACCTGTGACCTCAGGGGCAACACCCCTCAGAGACCCAGTGATCCACGGGCACACACAACCACAAGAGGCCTTGTTTACTTCCACAACAGTGTGTAATCTGAGAAGCATCTTTATCTGTAAAACAGATCAAGCCTTTTATGCCATCAGGGTTTGGGTCAAACAGAGGAGTCGACCTTCCCATTTAGGGAAGTTTTTAAGGAACAGTGAAAGTATTTGCTGCAGCTAACAAGCTTTACTCCCTCATCTTTAGTATCTGAGACCAAAAGAGATAAAGTTCTCAGCTAGGAGAGAATGTAACAAGTTATTCCCTGTGGAAAGGCATCAATCCCAGCCGTGTGTGGAAAGAGAAAATTTTTGCATGCAATGGCATTGCAGTGTGTGTACAGGGGTCAAACACCCCCTCACTGTCAGCTGTGTGTGTGACCTGCTGTGACATTCCTGGGCTGTGTGCTGACTGTCACGCCGAGCGGCTCCAGTTGCTCTGAATACCAGTAACTTGCAATAAACTCATAGCCTTTCCATGTCAGGAAAAGATGGACACACTCACACATTCCTGTTCACACACACATCATTACCAAGCATCAGATCCTGTTGGCAATGACACAGAAATGGCTCCAGAGGACCCTGGATGTCATTCCATGTGAAACAAATGACTGTAGCAATCAAAAAGTTCTTGTTGCTTCTAAACAGGGCGCTCCTTATTAGCGCAAACTCAGATTCCCAATCACTCCAGCTACTGGGAAACAGATGGCACTGGTGCTACTGTAAAGTGGGACAAATAGTCATGGTGTTGGCATGTTTCATTGGGTGCTGTCATTTGGACCGACAGGGTGCTCAAAAGAGGCTAACGACTAATCGGGGGGGGGGGGGGGGGGGGATATCCATAGGTAGTTTCTGTTTGTTAAGCAACAATAGACAGCAACAGTTTATAAGCTTGACTTTCCCAAATTCCAGTTAGAATTGACAAAGCTCCTCAGATGAGAAGAAAAAACGTCTTCAAGAAACCAAAGAAGTCCAGCTGGCTTCATATGTTCTGCTTTTATCATTATTTCCAAAGAACGAACACAACATCCCAAACCAAACGAACACGCCTGCATTTGAA